GACTGCCAGTGGATCATATGCTGAACTCTTTGGAAGTATGACTGCCTAGCTGCAAATATTTTAAACACACTCTTTTTGAACTACTTGTCCTACAATAATCAGTCAAAAATAGCTTCAATGGATGTGTATTGGAAGTCCTTCCTCAAACCAGAGACTTGACTGTGGCACACACATTTTAGATCATTGTGCTTCCCAGTGTGTGCTCATATCTCTTTGGACATTTGGACATTTCCACATTTACTTCATTAAAACTATCTGTCTTTGGTCGTGTAGGTCTTAAATTCTTTTGTAAAATCCTGTGTTGTGGTGCACACAAAGATATGTAATGCTTTGTATGGATGTTTTCTATCTACCAATTATGTTGTAAACCTAAATACGTGGTGCAAAATTATGTTTTTCTGATCACTATAGAGTCCATCCAAAGGCATGGATTTCATGCATAGGTAAAACAGATTGTCCTTTAAACAAAAATTTACTTCTTTGATTGTATGTATGATTAACCAGTTATTCGCCAGCATATAAAGGAGAACCCACTAAAAATCTGTTGAAACCAATTAACAGTTTTTCCTTAGCAGAATTCTTTTGAATTAGCATTTTTTTAAATATAAACCAATGTTAAGAAAACAAAATTGTATCTATTCTCAATCTGAAATAATCTGGAAGTAGTATGTGGAAACCAACTAAAGCAAAGTCTCTTAAATGGGCACTGAGGTGATGAAAGTTTAAATTTCATACTGCTTTCTGATTAATGCTGCAAGATGCCAAATGTATCTGCTTTGGAAATAAAATCCTTCTGGATTCTCAGAGAGCAGAATATATTTAATGCCATCTAAACAATCAGTAAAGTGCTTGTTAGGCCTAGATATTATCAAAGCCTTTTAACTCATTAGATGACAAGAGCAAGATAGTGAGCTGTCATATAGGCAGACTAAATAAGCAAAATATTAAATTCTGAGTTTTGAGTGTCCCATATTCAGGCACCAAATCACTGAAATTGCATTAAGTTAATGAAGCCTGATTTTTCAAAGGTCATCAAGACCTGTCATTTATTAGTTTCTTTACTAAATCACTGCAAGGAATCCTATGTATTTTACACTTGTTTATAGGCACTGAAGTGTGACAATTATGCCATAAAAAATGAAAGGCAGTTAAAATGGATATTTCACCAAATACCAATTATCTGACTCAACCATCTGTGCTATAGCACATTTTCCTGTCCCACAGTTACTGATCCAGTCTGGGACCTGACCCAAGCCCTCTGAAGACAACTCTGACTTGCCGGTCTGGGTTTCTTCCCACCAGAGAACAAACTGAGGAGGGACAGTGTGTGTGCTGTTAGGACATGTGCCCAGACTGGGGAGAAGGAAAAAATCTTCTGTCTCTTTTGAGACTCTATCTATAAATACCTCTTTCAGAACATTTGGCAAACATTTTTAAGTTAATCTCAGGACATTTTAAAACATCTGCTTCTGACTCAGGTATGAGTTTTGGTGACTAGATTTGAAAAGGTGTTTAGCTGTGTAATTTTAAATTACTTATTAAAGTTAAATTAACTATTAAATTATTAAATTAATCATTAAAACCAGAATTGGGCCTCTAAATATGTATTGAATAACAGTTGTGAATTAAGGTGCTTGTTTTTTTTTTTCTTCTACTCTAATAAAATTTTACCATGGTTTTGCTGGTTAGATTTTTCTGTATTAATTTTTGAAGAAAATATTAAAAAAAAAGTCATGTAATCACCAATTACTGTAATAGCCACTAGAGGTCTACTGATATCAAAATTCTGCCAACATCAATTATTTCTGCAAGTATTAAAAATGCTTCATCCAGAAGAAAATGCTCCTCATTAAGCATTAGTTGTTTGCTTTGTGAGGTGCATAATTTAATTCTCAGAATATTTAACCTCTTTGTATTGTTTTTAGTAGAGCAGCATTTTGCCTAAGTAGGGAAGAGTTGTAATGTAAAATCTACAACTGAAAGGAAAGGTGACTAAAAATCTTCCCAAGTATATTCACCAAGTAAGTATATTATAATCTAATTCACTGGACAGAATACTTCTTAGTGGTTAACCTTACAGCAAACAATGATTTAATGAAATTGCCCTACAATTAATGGCTTTTTATGGCCTTATTGGATTCCATCTGCCTTTGAGGATTTCTATGTCTCTAAAAAAATAAAACAATCTTCAATCCCTCTTTTAAATGGTCTTAGTATGTTACTTTTTAAATTTCTAACAAGAAGTGGGAATTAGATTACTTTATTTCCTGTAGGCCTAGTTATTCATCACAAGAACAGGAAGGCATTTTTTGGAACAAAAAGGCTGATATATTACATTAATGACTTTTCTCCAGAGACTTCCTTGCAGTCAGGTGACAAATACTGCTTCTAAGTCAGAGCAAAACCAAAACAACAAAACAGCAACCAAATGTATTAAGTCATAGTTGTCTGTGATTCATGAGCTCCTTGCCTAGGGTTTGTAGGGAATCGGTCCAGGTTGTGAAATGATACATCTGAGACCTGAATAATGTATAGAATTAAACATGATTTGTCTGTTCCTGTTCAGCAAAATGATTTTACATCCTCTTTGCTGTGGACTAATCCAGTCACAAAACAGCACCCTGCATGCCTCAACTTGTTAATACACAGATAACATACCTCATTTTTGTCCCTCACTGAAGGATGAGGGATATGACTGTGTGGTGACTTCAATTAACTGTTTAGTGAAAGGCAGGTGGCTGGCAGCTGAAGAAAAGGAAAAGCCTATAAAATCTGCTTTTTCTTAGACTTAATATAATAGAAAAAAATCGGATGGCCACATCTGTCCATCAGTTTTAATGAAGGTATCCACACATTCCTCATACTCTGAATTCTTGATGTAAGAACTGGATGGAGCAAAAGAGATATGGCATGTTAGGACAAAGAAAACACTCTCCAGCCATTATCTGTTCTTATCACTATTGTCCATGCACCACCTCCTGTCTCAGCCAGAAGACATGGTTGAATAAAAGCAATAGATTATTATTTTTACTGCATTATTATTATTATTGCTATTATTATTTCTGTTTCCATAGTCTCTAGGCATTTTTCTGGTGTTAAATTCCCCTTACAGAAATTGTGATGATCATTAGCCCTGAGTATTGTACGAAAGGCCAAATAGCTGGACTGTCTAGTTTTCCCTCCAAGCATCCCATCCCATACTTGAGAGAAATGAATGCTGAAAACTATTAGTGTGAGGGAGAAAAAAAGTACAAGATATGTCACGAGAAGGGACCATTATGTTTTTCATATTTAAGTAACAGAAGATGTAAATTATATGTGTCTAATCGGGCATTGCTTCCAGAGTCTCAATGTAGCAAAACTAATGGAAACAATTTTCTTTTTAACTCTAAAATACAGTGCTTAAATGGACTTATATGGCAGAATAATGGAGCTAGCAAGGCATTCTTTTCCAGATGTTTGAATTCCTGCTCCAGAACTGTTGATTCACCTTTCCAAAGCTTCACGTCTGTTGCTGTTGTTGCTTCTGCAAGTAACAAGTTTGAGGGGAAGAAAGAAAAGGCAAATTATTTTTCCTTCCCTTGGGTAAAATGTGGCAAGTTCCCACTCTCTGCTTTCTTTTCCCTGTGAGGAGGGGATGAGAAATCAAATGACAGTTTATTAGTACTAGCTATGCTCACCCTGTCTCAGGCAGGGACCTCAGCCAGAAATACGTTTCAAGCATTAGGAGTAAATGAGAAGGATATTGTTCACTGCAAGATTGCCATCCATTCCTCAGACTTAAAGACACAGCCAACAGATTTGACTGAATTCACAATGAAAGCATCCTGCGGACTTTAAAAGCTTTTTTCTATTTCATATTTTGTTTCAATTCTCCAGAGAATATGGTTGGCTTTAAGAGAGCATTATGCAGAAATGCTTATTCAAGCAAAACCCAAGGAAACACCTAAATGAAATGCAAAAATTCATTTTGGTAAACAAAGTATTGTTACAAGAATATAAGTATATGTATATATATATGTATAATTTTGTAACAATTTGGAGAATGTGGGACTTCCCATTTGGGCACCTGATACCAGAAGAATGAAAATTATGGATAAATAACAACTTCTGGAGTTCTTTTCACATTTTGTGTGAGAACACAAATGTTGGCAACTTTAAATATTGTATTCATATTAAATGATTTAATTAAATATCATAGACTCAATGAAGTGGATATAGATAACATACTGGAGAAAGCCATCTATGGTGCTGGTTTTATTAACTGAATCATTGTACTGTATATTTTACTTAGGGAAAGGAGGCTATGAATAGAAAGCCCTCAGGCCTGTGACTTAGAGACAGGACCTGGGTTTGTGTGTTGCAAGCTGGGAGAAAGCAAGCCTTGGAAATGGTTTTTCCCCAGGCATTGAGTGCTATACATATAAATATGTATGGCTTTCATACGTTCCATAGATTGAGTGGCTGGAATGCTAAGATGCCTGTATTTGAAGTCTTTAATTCCTATGACAACCTAATGGCAGTAGCTGTCTGCTTGTCCTGAGTGAATGTCCTGCCTGATGTTGTTTGTGTTGTGCTGCAGGATGCTGAAGTGAGGTTGTCTGAGTCTGACTGCCTTCCCCTTGGGAAGCTTAGGAAGAGATGTACTGAATCTCCCATAAGGTTATCCTAATAAACTGTTTTCTACTTAAATAAATGCTGTCTCCTGGGAACTTTTAGAATAATTATCACTGTATGACTGCCATTCTGTTTTCTTACAGTGAAAAATCTGAAAACCTTAACTATAGCACCTTTAATACGAAGGCACTGTTAAGATGCATCCCCTTTTGGTGCTTCATAATTTACTGACTGAACAGCTTTGGCTTCCTACCTGTTTCTGTCTTTAACTTAAGTTGTATATACCTCATATTTTTTGAGACTGAGCTGTTGTAGGAAGTTTTGTTCTCCTTATAATATGAAAGCTGAGGTCATTTGTGACATGTTTTCTATTTTTTTCTTAGAGGTACGTATTAAAGTGGTGTCCTGGTTTTAGCTGGGCTAAAATTTAATTTCCTTCATAACAGCTGGTGTGATGCTCTGTTTTGGGTTTGGGAGAAAAATAATGTTGATAACACACTGATGTTTTAGCTGTTGATGAGCAGTGCTGCATATATCCAAGGACATTTCAGTTTTTCTTATACTATCCTGACAGTGAGGAGCCAGGGCTGGGAGGGGATAGAACTAACCAAAGGGAAAAGACTAATTGAACTGTCTAGAACCAGGAGATCTGTCCTAAACTGGCCAAAGGGATATTCCACACCATCTGACATCATGTGGAAAAAAAAAACACAGTAAAACTGAGGGAAGCTGGCTGAGGAAGAAGCCACTCCTAGGGGACTAGCTGGGTATCAGTCAGTAGGTGCTGAGCAATTGCACTGTGCATCATTTGTTTTGTATAAACATATATATATATTATTTTAATTACTGTTATTTTTCCCTTCCTTTTCTGTCTTAGTAAACAGTTTTTATCTCAACATGAGTTCTACTTCTTTGTTTCCTTTGATTATCTTCCCCAGTTCACTGGTGTTAAGTGTGTTAAACCATGACAAAAGGGGAGGAAGGAGGTTAAGGCAAGCTACTGTATTCCTGCATGATATATCTTAGCTGGGGAAATATATATGTATCTTAAAAGCCTGTTCTGTGAGTCTAGACCCACTGATGTGAACATTACAGTTTGTATGTGCATAGTAAGTGGGATACATCCTGAATACACCAGATTTATTGTTAATGCACCAAACATTTGCAGTAAGTTCAGTGCACTCTGGAATCACTAAGCTTTTTGCACACTGCTGAAAAACTGATAAATGTATGCATAACAAATTAAGCTAGAAAGCATGAAAGGGATTTTTTTTTTTTTTAAATCTGTGTGCAGAGAGGTCTTCACTACACTCTGTACACATTTTGAATTACTCCTTCTAAGTATGTGGGGTTTGTTATTTGGACGATACTTGGTTTCCAGCAGGCTGGCAATCCAATAAGAAAAATCCAGACAAGTGTCCAAGAATTTTTTGGCTTTGTACAAGCAAAACTGTTCTGGAGAAGTATCTTTATAAAAAGCCCTTGTGTTTGATAGTTTATGGAAGAATAGTGGATTTGAATCTCTTTTGTACATAAACCAATCATACTTTTATGTACTTACGAAAGAATATTAGCTACTAAAACGTAGCAAGGACTTTTAGTAACTCTACTTAGACACTTTAAAAATATTTCATGTAGAATAAAAATTCTTTATCATATTATGTTTCTTGTGCTTCCTTGAACTTTACTGTATTGCTGCACCTTGAAAACTGATGTTAGAGAACAAAAACTGGTACAAGATGCTCTGGACTTAGAGGAGACACAATGAGGAATGACTAGAATGCAAGGCAATGTGGAATGAAGAGACATTAAATAAACTCTTGGACTCTTCTGATCGGAAAAAAGAAAGTCTGAAAAGTGGTATGACAAGGATCTGTACAATTTTAAGTGTTGTATAGAGATATGCATGGTATTCTTCCACACTTTCTCATACTGTCAAAAATTGCAACACTTCATAAGAAGAGGCAGTGAGATAATAAGAATCAAAAGATGTCTTTGGACATAGGATATTAACAAGTTGTGATATTTCTTGTCACAGAATGTTTCAGAAGGCAAAAATATGAACAGTTCGAAAGTGGAGTAAACATGGTCTTTAACCATAGAGCCACTGGTGGTTATTCAATATAGCTTCTGAAAATCTGTACTCAGAGTAGATTCTGAAGTATTGATTGCTGGAAACTTCGAGGATGTACTAGGATAAGGGTTATCATATACTTTACTGTTTATGTGGTTGTTTTCTCGACATCTTCCAGCACTGCATGGAAGATAAGTCTCTAATGCAGGTGATGGAGGAACCAATGAGGAGAGGCGTGCTACTGGAGCTTGTTCGTACAAAAAAGGAAGGACTGAATGGGAATGTGAAGGCTTGGAGAAGCCTTAAATGTAGCAACCATGAGATAGTGGAGTCCAGGATCTTATATGGAAAAAACAAGGAAATAAGAAGGATTGCAACCCTAGACTTCATGAGAGCCAACTTTGACCTCTTCAAGGACCTGCCTGGAAATATCCCGTGGATTAGAGCAGTGGTTGACATTCAAGCACAACTTCTTCTAAATTCAAAATCAGTGTATCACTAAGAATAAGAAATCAGACAAAGGTGCAGTAGACCCATCTGGATGAGCAAGGACTTCATGGATAAACTAAAATGGAAGAAAAAAGTCTACAGAACACGGAAAAGGGGACTGGACATCTGGAAGGAATATAGGAACATTGTTAGGGAGGCAACAAGAAGGCGAAGTCCCACGTGGAATTAAATCTGGTAAGGAGGTCAATTAGAACCAGAAAAGCTTCTTTAAGTATGCCAATAGCAAAAGGAAGACAAGGAAAAATGTGGATTTGCTGTTGAATGAGGTGAGTGCCATGGTAATGGAGAACAGTGAGAAAGGCAAAGTTGCTGAATGTCTTCTTTTTTTCATACTTTGTCATTAACATTGCCCCTTGGGATTCTCAGAACTGGTGAGTAAGAGAGAGACTCTGGGGAAAAGGAAGACACCTCTTCAGTCAAGGAGAATCTGGTCATAAATGATCTTGGCAAACTCAGTGCACACAAATGGGGCCCTATGGAATACACTCACAAGTAGTAAGGAGCTGATGGAAGGGATTGCCAAACCACTCTCCATTGCCTTTGAAGCATCTTGAAGAATGGCAGTAGTGCATGAAGAGTGGAGAAAAGCCAGTGTCACTCCAGTCTTCAAAAAGGAGAGGAAGGATGACCTACAGGGAAACTACAGGCCAGTCACCTTCACCTCTGTCCCTGGGAATGTGATCAAACAACTTACTCTGGATGTCATCTCCAAGCAAGGGGAAGAGAAGGTTAGCCGGAACAGTCAACATGGACTGTTGACTACTACAACCAAGGGTATAGAGTGTTCATGCTTTACTAATCTAGTAGTAGTTTTCACGATGTCATGACTGGCCAGGTAGTTGAGGGGAGAGCAGTGGATGTTGTGTACCTTGACTTCAGTAAGGCTTTTGACACTGTCTTCAAAAACATCTTCATAGGTAAGCTTAAGAAATGCGGGGTTGAAGAGTGGACAGTGGGGTGAATTGAGAACTGGCTGATTGGCAGAACTCAGAGGGTTGTTGATCAGTGGTACAGAGTCTAATTGGAGGCTTTTTAGCTAGCAGTATTTCTCAGATGTCAGTATTGGGACTGATCTTGTTCAACATCTTCAGTGACCTGGATGAAGGGATAGAATACACCTTCAGCAAGTTTGCTGATGATGCGTAGCTGGGAGGAGTGGCTGACACACCAGAAGACTGTGCTGCATTCAGCAAAACCTGGACAGGCCAACGAATTGGACGAAGAGGAGCCTCATGAGGTTCAACAAGAGCAAGAGTTGAGTCCTACACTGGGGGACGAATAACTGCATGCACCAGTACAGGTTAGGGGATGATCTGATGGAGAAGAGATCTGTGGAGAAGGACCTAAGAGTCCTGGTAGACAACAGGTTGGCCATGAGCCAGCAGTGTGCCCTTGTGGCCAGTGGGATCCTGGGATGCGTTTAACACCTTGAAGATCAAGGGAGGTTATCCTCCCTCTCTACTGTGCTCTGGAGAGACTGCTTTTAGAATACTGTGTCCAGTTCTGAGCTCCCCGGTTCAAAGAAGACAGGAATCTCCTAGACAGAGTCCACTGCAGAGTCACAAAGATGGTAAAGTGCTCGGAGCATCTCCTGTACGAAGAAAGACTGAGAGACTTCAGACTGTTCAACTGTAGAAGAGAAAACTGAGAGGGGTTCTGATCAATGTTTGTAAATGTCTAAAGGACAAAAGTCAAGTGGGTGGGGCCAGGCACTTTTCAGTGGTGCCCAGCAATGGGACAAGGGGCAATGCAGGAAGTTCTATCTGAACATAGGGAAAAACTTCTGTACTGTGAGGGTGATGGAGCACTGAACAGGCTGCCTGGAGAGGCTGTAGGGCTTCTCCTCTGGAGATGTTCAAAACTCACCTGGATGCTTTTCTGTATAATCTACTGTAGGGAACCTGGTTTAGCAGGCGGTTCATCTCTGGAGATTCTTTCCAATTCCTACAATTCTGTGATTCTGTGATTCTCTGATCTGCTTTGAATTGGGATACTTAGCAATATGAATCCTTGCTTGATCCACTGTGATTATTTGTGCTTGCTTTTAGATGTCCAGGTATCACCTGCTTGTCAAACAGTTGATAGGACACACTACATAGCATCATGCAAAGAAAGTCCTGCAGTTAAAAGTGGTAGGAGGATTTACTTCCAGTAACAGAGTAGCAGAGGAGGAATGTGTAGCAAAACAGGAAGACAAGGCAGTGCTCAGTGCATGCTGTATTATGATCCTGCTGTTTGATTTTCAGCATCCATTATGCTAATTATCATAATAAACCATCATAAAAGTTGATTCTTACCTGAATCTCTGTTTTACCTACCCCTGTTGCCTTATATAGAATTCTTCACCTGATTGTTTTGTAGAAATATGTTCATTTCAACCACCCTCAGGTGTTCAGTTTGTTACTGCTGACAATGTTTTATTTTAAAAAATAGAGGATATAGTATTAGATGCAGAAGTGGTCCCCAAAACAAACAAACAAACAAAAAAACCCAACCAAACCAACTAGATCAGACAGAAATGAAGCACCACTGCAAAATTGCCCTTTCTGGGATGTTAGGAGAAAATGACTAAGCAGCAAAAATATCACACTGGAAGTAACCAGTGTGCACACTGTCCTCTGATGCAGAGGAAGGGATGCAGAAATAGGATCCAGCAGATTTGCATATGTTTCCCAGTCATCTCTGCCTTGGTAAGTCATTTGATTTCCCTTTGTTTCTTTTCCTGTCTGGAGAATGAAGGTGATAATAGTGCTTTAAATCCATCCATTTCCCGTCATGCTTGATTCAGCAGTAGGCTCTGGGCTAGGGACTTCTGACTCTGTACATGTACAAAGCCTGCCTTAGCAATGACCTGACAGCAGTGTGGGCATATAAACGCTAGTGCACTTACATAGGCACTTATATTAAGCAGAAATACTTAAACAAACCAACCAAACAAACAAAAGAAAAGCTACTTGAGCACAGAGAAATACGAAGAGGGAAGTTCTTGGCTCTTCACTTCTGCCCTTTTTTTCTTTATTCCTCTTTTATACTCTGCTGACACACTCTTTCTTCTCCTCAACCTTTCTCAGCTGGCAACAAGGTGGCTTTAAAACAAAAGCTTCATTCTCTTTGATGGTGTGCTTTAAAAGAAAAAGAAAACGCTGAGGGAACCACTGCCTGAACTCAGTGTGCCTTCCAGAATGTGCATGTGTTTTCCCAAGCTGTGTGACGGCTGTTCTGTGGTCCCACTGGCCTGGCCACCTGTGTCACCCTCATGTGCCTCTCCTGTGCTGCAAGGAGTGATGCACTCAGACATGCCTTGGAGGCAGAGCTTGAGGGAGACACGGGTATTCTCAGCAGTTCTGCCAGACGTTTCTACTGCAACCTCAAGCACTTGTGCCAGCTTTGCAAAAGCAAACCAAGAGCACACATCCATCCATCCCACACTGAACCAATACCCTCTAGTACATTCTGTCCCTGAGCATCCACGGCCTTTTAGTGATCTGATTTCAGGAAATGAGGAAAAGAATTGAAAAAAATAAAATAAAAGGGACTTGGTTTTTTCAGTGAAAATCTTTTCCAATTTTAGGACAGGGTAAAATGTTGCCATCCTTATTTTGGTGTATTAAAACCTGAGTGTTGGTGGTTAACAGTCTTTGTGAATCATGTTTCCTGGGGGGAGATGGGGAAGTGATGCACAGATGGGAGCTAATATCCCACACATCTCACCACTTCTCTGTGTGGCTGGGCTAGGCTGCTACCAAGACCAGCCATCAAAGTTAGCCTCACTCATTTTTACTCAGTAAGGGGAATATTAGGCTTGCAATATTTCTGTGTCAGGGCCACCAGCCAATGCACAGAGGACTGGGAAAGAAGTGGCACTTGAATTCCTCAAGATATGGCTATCTCACCCTATTATGCAGTTAGTATAACTTTGCACATTTTTCATTTCTTAAATTAAAAGGTCACAATACTATTAAAGTCACCCATTGGAGCAGAGTTATGCAGAACCCACATAAGCCTCTGCAGACAACTGAGATTCCAGCCCCCTAATCCTGGCCACGCACTTCTCATTGAAATCAGTTTTGCACCATGGGAGCCAAGATTTATTTTGTCAGTGCTCAGGTTTTGAGCAGTTGTTTCCTTGTTTGTCCAAATGTCCTATCTTAGGCTGTAAATCTCACTCCACTATCCTTTATAGTGAATGTCATAGCATCTCCTGCTCTGTGCTTTAGATGTGCTCAGAGCCTTGATGCTCCTCTACAATGCTTCTCTTAGATCAGTTTTATGGTTCCATATCCATTCTGTCCCTGTTAGATGTTCCTCAACTTTAATGTCTATTTATGAAAATTAGATTGCAGATGAATAAGCACCTGAGGTTATGACCCAGGTAATGTTCTCATGTCTGAACTTCTGTTTATTTATTTTTCTTATCTGCAGAACATAAATGATTTACTACAGGATTGGTGTCCTTTGAATAACTTCTTTATTTAATTATTTGAGTCTAATGCCAGGTGAGATACTGAATCATGCTTTTGTGATTCCTGTCTGAGATTTTTACTCTGGAAAATGCTCCTACCAGACCCAAAGAATTGATCTTTATATACCTACCAGTGAAACTGAACAGAGCCTTGGAACCAGATGGAAACTGACAGGATATAAAACTTTCTTCATAATCTTCTGCATGTCTTCTTAATTTGCTCTTGCTTCAGCATCTCATACAAGTCTTCTGTGATGCACCTTGTAAGAAAGTGAAGAACTGGAGCTGGTATTTTGGTACAAATCAGCTATGCTTAAGGGGACTGAGGTCTAACTTTTTGGTTGCTGGATTTATGAAAAATGTCCGTCTTACATCTTACACGTTCTTTATCTCCATTTTATTTTCTCTCCCAGTTTTTATTCAAGCAGTCATGGCATTATGGGTAACTTTCTTACAAACATACTTACATATACTGAACCAGAATGAAAATTTGAGTATTCAAGACATTTTCCTTGCTGTAAGGTTCTTGA